TTAACACAGTATCGGAAGGTCTCTGTCACGTTGTCTTATTCCATAGATTACTTGGAATTCAGCGCCCAACCTAACTGTCCAGAGCACATCTCTGCAAGAGATTTTGTTCTGAGCAGACGATTGACGGGACCAGTCCTGGTAATCCGGTGTTTAGCTTCCGGTGAATCTTCTTGAATTATTTTAGTGTTGCCACAGGATGACGGGTTGGAATGTCCTCTTAAATCTATGTCGGCAGTCTTTCCTATAACCTTTTTCTTGTCCCCACCGGTTTCTATCTCTGTCTGATATCAGGTGAACCATATACTCGAACAGTCCGAAAGTGCATCCTTCTACACTGTGTGACCACGACGGATTACCCGATCCGCCAAATGTGTGTGTAAACTGTGCATTGCCACATTTGATGATGAAAAATTATCCGGTTTAGTCAAAATGCATACTTCGTAATTCAGGTGCACATAGCTCGAGTGATGCTCCATCCAAACAGCCCCGCAAAACCACAAAGCTCGGTTGTTGTAGTGTGCCAAACATAGGGCTCACTTAAGCGATGCACTTGGATGCTAGTACCGTGGGAAAATTTATATCAAAAAGTTAGGTTCCAGCTGCGATACCCTTCCGGTGCGTAGCTGCAAGCTGTCATATAGAGTTTCCTTTTCTGAACAGCCGAAGACGTCAAAAGACTTTCAGTGTTTTACGATCAGTGTCTTCGGAGCATTGCCCGAATCTGGTGGGGACACCGTATCAGCAATTCTGAAGTACGTCGAACGATGAACTGATGACACTGCACAGGTGGCACTGGCTTGGCCAAGTGCTGCGTATGTCAGTCGACCGACATCCTCGAGGGGCTCTTTTCTCACAACCACGTGAAGGTTGGAATAGAGCAAGAGGCGGTCAAACAATGACTTGGCAGCGAAGTAAGAAAGCCAGCTGCGCTGGTCACTGCCGTCTTCCTGGATGAGGACCCCGAGACGGGCCACATCAATGGGTAGAGACATTGTCGGACATGGCCCAGTCGAGCCCTTAATGGTGCTTGTGCATCCAGCCATCATCATCATCAAGGACACCAACATCAGTGTTGCCACTGATGCTTCACTGCCGTACAATCATAAGGTTTGTCTAGTTATATATATATATATATATA